GCTAATAAAAGTCTGAATAAAAGTGTGACTGCAGGCTTTTTGGGTTAAGTCTACAGCAATGCATCAGTCAACTTTTATCTCTGTTGATATCGATATCAGGGGTTTAGTATCGGGCCGATACCGATCTGATACAGATAAACAGCTGAACCAACTTAAAATGTTTCTTTTCACTTTTTTTTAACAAAAACAACCTAATTACGTATTTGCCATCTGTGCACCAGTACAGCACACTTAAATACTTTAGTATTTTTCACCTCTAATTACCTCAATACACTAAATACTTTAGTGTATTTAAGTGTGTGCTTAAATGTGTGTAAAAACAACAACACTTTCATCTGTTCAGTCGGTCCACCTGGGAGTAGAACAGCCAATGTAAAATAAATAGAACAATAGGTTGGTAAACATGTAAAAAAAATAAACTGCCACAAACATTGTTCCAAATAATTCAGAAAGTGCAATTAGAAATTTGAAATACAACGTAAAATAAATAAAGGCGCCGCTCGGAACGCAAAGCATAGAACTAGATTGAAAAGACGTCTTCTTATGAATTGGTCACATGGTCGCCGATGAATGATCTAGAAGTTTTTTAATATCTGCACCGATTCAGATATTGATATCAGATCAGTGCAGCTCTAGCAAATAAATCCAAGTCTGTTTGTCTTTGCAAAAAACTCAAACTTAAATCGGATGACGAGCGTGTTTGAACATCAATTTTGAAGTATAGCTGAAAATACTTAGTTGGGTTTAAGTCTTTACTTTGACTGGACCATTCCAGCAAATGAATAAGCTTTGATTTAATTCATCCTATTGTAGTTGTGGCTGGATGTTTGGTGTTTTGCTACAATCCATCTCTGAGCCACAGCAAAAATAAAAACAGGATTTCTCATGACTTTTTTTTTGTTAATAAACGGTCTTCTGCATTCAGGTTTTCCACTAAAAATGCCAGACTTGACGAAAGCAGAAATGTCGTCTGGGATGTCGTCTGGGATATGATCAATAAAAATACGAACCACAGCTTGTCATTTTTTGCCCCCTCTCCCAATTACAACACTTACGTACTACGCGTTTGTCAGACAGTCATGATAAAACACATTTTGTGGCTGTGATGTGAAGTAGGGTGTGGATACTTTCTCAGGGCATTAAGAAAACAGAGTTTCTCCTCTAAGCCAACAGTTGTTGTGTTGTTTAGGATTTTGTTGCAAAAAGCAAGCCTTGTCTCAAGAAACTGATGAGTGTGTCGTTAATGAACAGTGATGTCATATCATGTGATACGAGACTTCTCGAAGCTCAAAAATGTGTCATTTTCTTTAACATGTCCATGCGAGAACTGTGTTTCACTGCCATGCTAATGGTTTTGTCATCATCTTCTCCATCAAAATGATTACCATTGTTGAGATTCCAACGGCTGTAATTAGGTATGTTGGCTTAAGTATGTCAATAAAGGCAAATAACATTTTAAATGAAATCACTAGTTTCTTTTTGTTCATTAAATTAGAATATACCTACTCTTTTTTTTTTTATTAAAAAATAAAAGTCAACAGCTCCCATAGCGGCGATGCAATAGAGGAAGAGGACTAGCCAATATAGATCCGTCTCACACACACACAGAAGCTTTTAGGTGGGAATCGATATCCACATTGAAGTGTGGAACATTAGCCGCCTGTGTAACATTCACAACACAAATGCAGAAAACAACCTCAGATCCGCTCTGATCCAGAGGTTCTGGCACTATGATCACACCAGACACTCAGGCCGAAGAAAAAAAAAAAAGTTTGTTAGGGGCCAGAAAATGTTCTGTTCTTTTGAGGAATTTATGATAAAACACGGTTAAAATTTGATTAAAAAAAGTTTGATTTTTCTGTACTCACACAGACATCGCACATTATCCCAGAGGAAGTAATCGTCCACGCTGTTTATTTTGACTGATTCTATTGTACAGATGGTATAACTATATAAACTAGTGTCCACATATTTGCATCTCACAGATTACCTGGGGTCTCCTTTGTTTACGTTAGTGATGGCAGGATGCAGAATGGTCTGGCTTCCCTCCATCTCCACCACACATCTGGTTTTCAGGTCTTTCTCTAGATTTAGAAAAAAATTAAATACATACAGTATATTTACTCAAAAACAATATGATGTGGATTCCTTGAAAATGAAAAAGCTGGGTAAAAACTGGCTGTGTGTCAACACACTTTTTAAAGTTTTTTTTTAAATTGGTTTTGGAGTATTAAATGATTCCATCATAACACATTTCTGTATGTTTCATACAACAGTATATTAGGGCCGTTGTAGATTTTTTTAAAAATTCATTCAAGCGACAATTTTCCTCAAAAAAACCCTAACATTTTCTAGAAAAAAAAAACACCCAGCGAAAAGTCGCAAATTTGTGAGAAAAAAAATCTGAAATTTTCTAGACACTGGCCCCCCAATGTGCCATTGGAGCTTCGGGTAAACCTCCGACAGGTTTCCCCTAGGTTTTATCCCATTTCTACCTCCGTTCACTGTGCTTTGAGAAGTAGTCCACATTATCTGACATTGTCATCCTGCCCACCACTAAAGGCAGCTACCGGCTGGTTGTCACTGCAGGGTGACAGGTGGGTGAGGGCGTGAGCCAGTTCCTCGTAATCACAACACAAACAGGTTGAAAAGGACTAACAAGAAATTGCTGCATTACTAATGATTCACCCAGGACCTGCCTGTGCAAACATTACGGCGAGTTCGCTCCTGGCCAGGCAGCCAGTAAGGAAGAGACGAGTTGCACCTTCTCTTCCTCATTCCCACCTGAACCAGGGGGCGGAGTCAGGGTTTCGACTTCCTGTCCCTGCAGAATTTAGGCCATCAGTTGTGTTAGATTTCATGAAGTGGACAATAACTGGAACCAGAAACACAAATCTTTGTGTTCTCGGGTCCAAACATAAAGTTCTGCTACGCTGTTGTTCCGGGAATTTATTAAAGGTGCATTAAACATGCAGCACCTCATTATATTTTTATTGCTTTCAGACTGCAGGCTTCCTGCCAGCCCGCTTCAAAACACCAGCAAAACTACATCTTGTTGTTGCTTTCCAGACAGGGGGCTGAAGGGACTTTCCAAAATTATCAGAAATAAATGCTCTACTGACTGAGCTAAAGAAACTAGCATAACACACGCATGGCGGTCCACACGGTTGGTTATTCTCATTTGGGAGTGGGTGTGGGATTTCCTGAAAATGTCTCACAGGCCAATGATAAGAAAAGGAGGGAAGAAGATGGAGGACAGATATATTTATGCTAAAGATACAATCCAGTGGTGTGTTCTCCCCACCCCACCAACGTTCACTACAAGTCAAGCACACTTAGGTAATGAAATCTGGATTTTCACAAAATACATTTTTAAAAAGACTACTGAAGGTGGAAAAAAAAAATCTTTGTTTTGTTCAGATTTGGGTTGATGACATCACAAGAGGCACGTGAAATTGGCTTATCAGCTGAGGTTCGGAGATATTACGGCAGGTGAGTGGCTTCAAGGTTCAAGCAAACTCTTACTATCTCTACAGTTTAAAGTTATTTTAAGTTAATAACACCCCTAAAACTTTTTATTCAAGAACTCCAGAAAAGAAAACTTCAATGAGCTACAAAATTCATTGATTGATTCATTAAATTTTTTCCTCCCCTTTATTATGTGCCTTTACCTGTCATCAACCCCTAACTCTGTCCTCTAATTATATCATGTTTAATTTACACATCAAACTTAAAAGTATCTCAAAAATTATGAACAATAATTTTTAAGGGGCTAAAACAAAATTAAACGTCCAACCAAGGCGACATGAAAGCTGAAAATGATATTAGTTAGCAACGTGTGAGTAGAAGCTTGTTTTGGGGAGGGTAAGAACTCAAATTAATTAAAAATGATTTATAACATACAAAAAAAAGGCTTATGATGTTCTATTTAAACTACATGGTAACTCATTTTCTTTGTTTTAACCGAGAAAAAAAAAATCTGGCGTTTGGCTTTAAAAAGTGTTACATGGCTCACCTCTCCTGTTCATGGGTCGCACGCGCACAGCGACCTTTACGTTGGAATCACTCGGGCCGTTGTCATCCATTGTGGCACCTGACCTGCGGCGATTTAATCAGTGGACACCAGTAAAACCAGTTAAGTCTCTGTTTGGACTTTCTACATTCACAACGCACGGCCCGAAAATTTTACACTTCCCCCAGAATTAAAGCTTCATTTCGCATTGACAACTTTGTTCAAATAACTTCGGAGCAGCGCGAGGCAAGGAGTGACGAATAAAATGACGGAGAAGGGAACTAACCGAGTGAAGGAGTGCGCAGGTTTTTTTCCCCCCAGTCCGACACCCAGGAGGCGCAGCAGCGGCAGCAGAAGCGGCTAGCCTGGGACGCTAAAGAGGTCTGGAGCAGCAAACACACACAGACACACAGGGTCCAACACTGTATGACAGCGACCGCTGGCTTGCTCTACCTGCCTGCCTTGCCCACCCCAGAAAATCCGCTCGCACGGGGGGAAGTTTGCCGTCTGGTCCACAGTCTTGGAAACACTCACGGCAGTCCACGCTTCATTCCCTGCAGCTCGTCCACCTGTTGCATTTCCTGAAACTACCCGCAAACAGTCGGGCCATGTCAACTCGCGACTAAAGGGATTTGCTGTGAGATTTAAGTCAGTGAGCCTTCAGCTGCCTCTGGACACATTCACGAACACGTCTTACGAGAGGATTTAACGCCACCCCGCGGATGTTCGTCGAAAATACAAGCCTTTCCCACCACAAGTGAGATTAAGACGTTTTTAAAAAAATATGAACCCCCGTCAGGGCTTTTTATTTAAATAAGACACACATGTAACTCTATCCCAATGATTTAATAATAATAACGATAATAATAATCATTCAAAAACAGTAGAAAAGCACTGAGGGGACTGATATCGGGATTTCAATTCCATACAGTAGTTTACGTCATTTTACGACAGTTTCTGTTACGGTGCGGCATTTCCAGTATGCTCGTAACGTGGAGTTGTTTTACTGTTCTCTGAGTTGACAGACAAATGTTTTACCCTTTAACAAACACCACCTCGTTTAAAATTTGACAGAGTGTCCGCGGAAGGATATGGGGAAACCAAAGAAAAAGAGTGAGTTTGCTGTGAAATGTGTTAAATATTTTAAATAACTTTTAAATTAGCCAGACTAGTTGTAGCTTGTTGCTAAAGCTAACCAACACCATTCAATTTAGGGAATCTTTACTGACTCCAATGGGAAATTAAATGTTGCTTTAACTTGTATTATCCAAGAGTTGCCATCGCAGTATACTAAATGACACAAAATGATACTCATCTCTACTTTATGTAATAAATGTGACTTTCTCCGTCAACAACTCTTACTGAATGTGAACACCGAGTTATTATAAGAAAAATAATACATTAGTTAATCTAACTTAAAGTATTTTTGCTGGTTTCCAGGTGACATCAGCCGAGCTGAGCTAATGATGATGACCATCGCCGACGTCATCAAGCAGCTGGTTGAAGCGCACGAGCAGGGCAAAGACATCAACCTTAACAAGTGAGGATTCTTAAAACGACGCGAACGTTTTTCGAGAAATACGAAATGATTGAGAAGCGGCTGCGTCCGGTGGGGACTCAAAAAAGAAAATAAAAACTTTTTTTTTTTTCAAAATTAATTAGTGACTCTAATATAAAGGTTTAAAGCATCCATAGTTGGTGCATAAGAAAATTATTGGTAATAATAAAAAAGTAAATTAAATAAACTGAACTTTTTTGAATACGTGGGCCATGACCTTATTTTAAGATGTACTCATTCACCTTTTTCTCTCTCAGAGTGAAGACAAAGACCTCGGCGAAGTACGGACTGGAAGCCCAGCCACGGCTGGTTGACATCATCGCAGCCGTTCCGCCACAGTACCGCCGGGTTCTGGTGCCCAAACTGAAAGCCAAACCCATCCGAACCGCCAGCGGGGTGAGTAACCCCAACTTTCTCCTCGTCTCTCCCTTTAGCTCCGGGTAGATTTCTCAAAGTGTCCTCGTGAATTCCAACTAAATGCATAAAATTAGTTTTCTGAACGCAATAAAAAAGGTCAGATGTGTCATTCAGATAACTACCATACAATTATAACATGAAGAACCCCACAAAAAAGGTAAATTACCTCAGCAAAAACCCAGAGCCTCACCCGAAGACTTGTGCATGTGGGCAAATATTAGCATCTAAAGCTTCTTTGTTCATTGGGAAATAAAACCCAGACAACTAAATCTTCAGACTTTTGTCTCTGTCGCAGATTGCGGTTGTGGCTGTGATGTGCAAACCACATAGATGTCCTCACATCAGCTTTACAGGGAACATCTGTGTGTACGTATTACTCTTAATTTTTACAGAATAAATTCTCTGATTTAGAGTTCATGTTATTATATATAAAACAGATTTTTACAAAGCTTCAGGTGTGTTGAAGGACTTTTTGACTGTTATTCAGTGTCCTAATATTACATTTCTTCATATTTTATATCTTTTTATCTTTGGCAGCTACTGTCCAGGGGGACCAGACTCTGATTTTGAATACTCCACACAGTCGTACACCGGCTACGAGGTGAGGCTCTTATAGTCCATCTGTTTTCCCAGTGATTCTATGATTTAATAATAGAAAAAAAACATTAAAATGTCATTGCGTTTTTGTTTTAAAGCCAACATCCATGAGGGCGATCCGAGCTCGCTATGACCCCTTTCTACAGACCAGACACCGAGTGGAGCAGGTCAGAGTCTCCCAGCTCTGTACACAAATAATATTTCATAAATTTAATTTCACATGTCATAACCACAAATGTTAATGTATCTTATTGGGTTTTTACACACAAAGTGGTAAAGTAAAAGAAAAACAGAGGGGATGAAAGATGGTTTTCTTTACTCTGAGACCCCTAAATAACTGAACTGTAGAACCAGCAGCTGGAACAAATCCACTTCAGCAGGGATATTAACACATGTGGTCATTGATGATGGATTTTGCAGATGGTAATTGAGGGTCACAGCTTTCGTCACCCCTGCAAGACCTCAATTACAGAAATGTAAAAATGAATGGTCCCAATTTCTCTTGTGCGTCAGAGCAGAACGATTCATTTTCTGCTGATCTATTGATGCTGCTCTTATGTGAAATCGCCTGTACAACTCAGAACTAAACTACAGGTGGGCTGTAAACGCGTCCTTAATTTTGAAAGTTCGGATAACACTTGAATGTAAAACCTATCTTTTCCACCAATCCTGTAGAATCACGCATGTCATGTCTGGATGAGCGCAGTTATACAGTCATCCACTTATTGCCAATTTAGCGACTGTTGCTATATGTAGCAGTTTTTCAGATAAAAAAAAATCGTAATTTAAAAATTGGTAATCAGACTGAAAACTGCAATCAGTGCACCCTAATGTCTACCTGTGGTCACTTTTGAGAGCAAAATATACATATTCTTTCGTTAAGTCTCAATTTATTTATTTTTTTACAAATGAAAGCACATATTGATTTGCACATATTACAAACCTATTACATAAATGACTGCTTTAACTTTATAATGCTCAAAACTTGTATAATCCAGCTAATCTGATGTCTAAGCCCACAGTTTTTACCAAATCTAAAATCTTCAGTCAATGATTTTTGAAACTCACAGAGCGGGAAAATGATGAAATTATCTTGCTCTTCAAAAACAAACAGGAAAAATATTAAATTCATATGAATTGGTGTATTGCTGTAACTGCCTTTTACAAACTTGAAGGACAACAGTTCTTTTGGGTTAAAGGTTATTGTATTTCTCACCCTTGTTGCAACTGATTTCATTTCTTGCTGACTGCAGCTGAAGCAGCTGGGCCACAGTGTGGACAAGGTGGAGTTCATTGTGATGGGTGGCACCTTCATGGCACTGTCTGGGGAGTACAGAGATTACTTCATCAGGAACCTCCATGACGCCCTGTCAGGTCACACCTCTAACAACGTGGCGGAGGCCGTCAGGTACAAACTGCTCCGCAGGGCCTCAGCATTTCATCTGTCTTCTAGACTTCTCTACAAAAGGGCGCAGTACGATGTCAGATAGACTTTTTTTAAGCTTTACATCTCCTCAAAAATATGCCTAGAGTGTTGCCTTGATTCTTTCATGTATGTTTGAGAAATCCTTTAGTCTCCATGGAAACTATTCAGCTGAGTAAAAAGCCTGGTTGGACTTAGCTCCGAGGAGCTGCGTCTCGAAGGTGGAGTTTCTGAGCTTTCCCTTCACACCGCAGTTCTCCCCTGTAACTCAACTGCTCAGCTCCTTCAGACTAGCCAGCAGCAATTAGACAACACCTAGTAGAACTGAGCATCTGCTGAGCTCATTATAGGAGCTACTTCTCAATGCAACCCAGGTAAAAACATTGTTAAAGGGTTAATAGAGGAGCCATGTTGTGATGACTTCCTGAAGACAGAGTTTCAGAAAGAGCAAAAGCTTCTTAAAGAGACAAAGGCCCAATTTCATGACATTTAAATTATAAAGTAAAAGTTCCTTCAAGCCATATGTAATATATACAGCATTTTTATAACTGTGGTTAGCATAGTTAGTTGATTGTGCTATAAAATGGCACTGTGCTTCTAGAAAAAGATTAGTACTGTTTTTTTAAAGGTCTTTAATACAAGAAATATATAAGTAGCATAAAACAATGTGGATTTTTCCTTCTGAGGAGGAATAACTGTGAAACAGGGTTGTTCTAATTTAGAACAAAGTTATCACATAGTGGCCATTGTAAGCTCCCTTTAGTATGTTGTATTAGCAATTAGAGTTTAGCATTGCTGAAAAAATCAGCCTCTTTGTACATATGTCTTTTTAATATCTGTGGATGTGCACAATTGAGATAGATCTGCTAACACTTATTGACCAACCATTAGCTTTCTGACAGGATGTAGTTCTACACAGAACACAGATGTTCCCTACTTGTGCATTTGTCTCTCATCTTATGCTTACAAATGGAGCTTTTTAAAATGGATGATAATAACCTGCACACATATCTGCAGGTTATTATAAATTCTCCTTTTAGAGTTCTTTCTTTTCTACTTTAAGTTTAGGGTGAATTATTCAGTCAATATTTTCTTGACAGTTTATGAAGAGTGTCTGTATGTAACAACTGGGTCACTAGAGGGTGCTGTTTTACTGCACATTATTCTCTGCAACGTTGTATCTGCCTGGGTGTTACAGCTTAACGTTGAGTCAAAAAAAATCTAGTAAATAACTTGCATGTAATTTGAATATGATAACTATTTCTGCTGGCACTCAATATCAAGAATAAAAGAAATCAGCAAAGAGTTTAGACACCTGTGTACAAATGCATTATCTTGCTTTGCATAGAGAGTAGATGTGTACAAAGTGGAAAACATCGAAAATGTATGCCAATCTTCAAAGTAGTGGCTTTTCCCATCTATTCATCCCTAAGTTAAAGCGTGACATGCTTTAACTTAGAGAATTTTGGGGAAAAAATTCCCAGAAGCTTCTTTTTTGGCTTTTCTTTTTCTGCAAGCCACAATTATCAAAATGACAAGAAATAAAGGCTTGAAATTAGGGATGTCCCAGTTTGAAAATTTGGGACACTATCCATTCCTGATCACCGCTGTTCTGACTGCTACTGCAGATATTTACCACCCTAGTTTCACTTATCGGACCGATACCAATGATTGAATGGCACAGTAATCATAGCTTCACAAATTATTATCATAAGATCTCTATCACAATAAATGATAAATAATATGATGAATGCCCACTGCTACCTTCCAGTAATTGAGTCGACATATTCTAGTGTCAAACATCAGGCCGTCTGGCTAACAGCTGAAGTGTGGGCTACATCTGGTCACGCTTGCAAGGAAACAATTTTGTAAAGACAATAAAAGCAGAATTTGTTCATGACGATGTTTGAGAACCAAAATGAGTTAGACCTCAATATATCATTTGTTTTGTTTGGACGCATAACTTTATAATGTAATTTCTGGCAGTTGCACCGTATACTGTTGAATTACACCTCTGTTTGATTCAACGCACCATGGTTGATCCTGGAAGAGCCCAAAGGAGTCCATCTCTTGAATGAAACCATTGAGAATCCAGTAGGGGGAGATGATTGAAGCCACTCTTCCCTTTGTTCAGTCAATTTCCCTCTCGCTGAGTCAGGGGAGAGCTTCAAGTGAAATCAGACACGCTTCTGCTCAGTATGGACAGACTGCAACTTTCAAGTGGTGTTTAATTCAGGTGACTGGGCTTTTACTAACTGGTTTGTCAAAAAGAGACGTTTCCTTTCCTAAAGCCTGATGAGACTAAGAAGCCTGGTTTATGCAAGCGTCTTTCACTGCGTCTGTCATCGAGTGTGTGAGCAATCTCACGTGTGTGCCTTAATTCACACCAGTCCGCTGTCGTCACGCTTTGTTAAGACACTATGATTGCCGTAATTGTGGAGAGCGCTTCCTAAGTTTGGATAAGACTAGGCTTGGCTGAAAAGCGCTCGCGCTTTCGGCTGCTGGTGTGTGATAATTGTTATGTTTGTGTATCGAAGAACTGCGTGGCCGTGACTCTCTCTCCCGCCGCAGGCACAATGCCTCTTGATCTGATTGAAGCGGTGAGGTACCTGGAGATAATCGCCTGAGATAATAGACTTTTTATTGATTCATCTCCCACAATCTGATCATCCTCTGTGGAGCATAAACTCTTGTAATTAGAGTAAATCAGCCAGCAGACTGTAAAAGATGGACATTTACTGCCAGTAGATCCAAAATCCAGGGGAATAGGCGCTATGTGAGGGGAGCTAATGGTCATTGAAGCAGCTGAAGTGGAGAAAATGACATCTGGCTCGTGCGCTGAAATGACGCAGCTCTTGTTGTTTTGGTGATTTTGATCAGTGAGTGTAATAACTCTGAAAGTGGAACACCAGTGAGATTCAGGCTAAATGAAGCTGAGAAGACACGGGCCTTCAGATTACATTGTAAAAAAGGACAGCAAAACAAGCCGGTTCATTGTCAGTTCCACCCGATATCTGAAAAGTTCCGTTTTTATTCATCACCCACAGATTTGTGTTCAGCAATGGTGTACACACAGGTTTTCATCAGGCAAACTGGAAACACAGAGTGCAGAAACAGTCAAGAAGATACTCAGGAACCCAAAGACGAGACAATCCCAAATTCAATTGGAGAGAACCAGGGCCAGATAGAAAATAACTTGTGCCTAGTACTCCATTGGGAATCCTGTCAAAAGAGCATGAGTTTAGCTGTTTCTTCCTCAGTCAGGCCCACCTATGTTTGTCCTTGTTTGCAAATCTTGTGCAATTCCTTCAAATATTTTGGAAATACCTCAGGAGTGGTAAAAACCGTGTCTTTTGTGCAAGTGATCTCATTAGCAAACAGATTGATTGTGCCTTGGATTTACCTTACAATCAAGTGAAGGTGGTGCTTTCAAACTCCTCTAACAACATCTCAACCACAATTTTCCATCTGCTATGAGACCATAGAAGATTGTGAACTGGAAATGGATAATTTTGTAGTTAAACTTTGAGGTTGTTATCTATTGAAGACAAAATGATCCATTGTGCGCAGTTGTAGCACACCGCACTTGGGTGGAAGAATGCATACACCTTCATCTGAAAGGGGCAATCCATAGTGAAGAAATACACTAAGAGCTTTCCATGAAACTGGCCACCAAGGAGTCCATGCGTGAAATGACACTATTTCACGCATAACTCTTGTGCACCGGCAGAGTAAAGAACACACTGCTGGAAAACTTTGCTAGAACCAAGCAAAACATGAACTGGCTGGAGTGAGACTAGACAAAGGAGAAGGGGCCTTGGATTACAGGGGAAACTGTGTAAAACTGTCGACATCATGGTTCATTGATGATGCCATTGGTTTTCTGACCATAAATTGGTTTAATAACTTCCAGTATTTGTCAAAAATATCTGCACACAATAACGCTTTTCAGTAACAACACTGAAAATGATGTCCTGTGTAGCTTTTAAAGTTGGGTCTTTTATCTTTCTAGCATTAATGTGTCTTTAATGTGAGGTTAGTGTTAACTATCTGGGTGATGAGCCATTTCAATTTACAGCACGCAAATTGATGTTGCTAAATGATGCCTCCAATAAATCCTCCGTTTCTCTTCCGACCCTCAAATATTTATTCTCATTGGCACCAAATGGTCAAATTAAAAAGTCATTACAGGAAGAGAGACGTTTAGCAAAATAATCCCAAGACGCACCGCGGGAGGACCGAACCCAACCCGGGTTGACTCGAGCGGCGGGCTCTCTCTCGCTGCAGGTACTCGGAGCGCAGCAACACCAAGTGCGTGGGAATCACCATAGAGACGCGGCCGGACTACTGCCTGAAGCGCCACCTCAGCGACATGCTGAGCTACGGCTGCACCCGGCTGGAGATCGGCGTGCAGAGTGTTTACGAAGATGTGGCCAGAGACACCAACAGGTTAGTACGTCTGCCAGGGAAAACACATCAGAACATTTTTTATTTTGGTTAAATAATCCCAGTTCCATCTCTACATGTGACCTTTTCCAAATCTTTTCCAGAGGGCACACAGTGCGAGCTGTGTGTGAGTCTTTCCAGCTGGCAAAGGATGCTGGGTTTAAGGTCGTTGCGCACATGATGCCAGACCTGCCCAATGTTGGCATGGAGAGGGACGTGGAGCAGTTTATAGTAAGCACCTATTCATTTTAAAGTGGCAATTTTATGTAACAGCAACATTTTTGAGCTGCACATCATGTTATAACGATGAAAAAAATATCTGGAGTGTTGCCTTGATTCTTTAATGCATGCTTGAGAAATCCTTTACGCTCCATGGCAACCATTCAGCTGTGCAAAATGTCTGGATGGACCTAGCTCCGCCTTCAAAGACAACACGCAGTTTCCATGATCCAGGCTTTTTACCCCTCAGAAAAGATTTCCTAGGATGGCCCTATGTTTAGCTGCATGTATCTTTCCATTAACTCTTTGTCAAGATGCACATAAATGAATTTGTTGGACATCCTTTCAAACTACAGAAGTCAAATTTAATGATGGAATCATTCTTGCAGTTTTGGCAGTGACACATAACAAGGATATAAAGGAGAGCAGACCTATTAAACTGTCTGACAGTATATACTTTACTGCATGTTGGTCTAAAATCCACTAATGAACTCTGGCTTATTGGTCTTAATGCACCGTTTTTCCAGCAATGACTAATATGTTCTAAAAAGGTTGTGAATAGTTAGGGTTTTTTTCCTACTGTTTTTCTGTTGAAGCAAATAAAGGTCATGAATATAATATGTGGCTATGAGAAGCTGAGGACAGACTATTTGTCCTCTGCTGGGATCACTGCTACTCCCACCTCTGGTAAAAGCAAAAGTAGGCATGTTTTTATTTAGCCAAACAACAAATTGATGTAAAAATATAATTTTTGACGACTTTGTCAGTTCCTACGCTCATTGGCTCCTGTGCTTTCAGCTGCCTGTCACTTAGTGTACATCATTCCTCTTGGAACAACCTCTGATGAGCCAGGTTTGCAATAGGATTTATGTCTGGACAGGGGTCCTGCCAGGAATCTTGGGCCCCATGATAAAAAATTTGATTGAGCCCCCTCCGCACAGCTGCTGTTAAAATCTTTTAGTCTATTTGACCCTCAAGAAGCATCACAATTTTAAAGACTCGCAACTGCCTTGCTGTTTTTGGTCCAATACTGATAATAGGACTATATTTACAGCTCATGAATTTACATACAACAGTCCACATACCTGGAATCATCTATTATATTTAGAAATATGTTTTGTGGATGCTGACATTAGTGATGCTGCGGCAGCAGCATATTTAGCTTTGCGGTGCTATTTTAGGTTAACTCCATTTTTTGTTGTTTGTTTTTTTTTTTTTGGCACAACTTGCACATGACGAAATTACAAAAAAAATAGCAGGAAAGCTCCGCATCAAGTCGATCATTAAGTTTATTGTTTGTGACATCCATAATCATACCTCGTTCTTTTAGTCGGCATCCGAGTGCGTCATCGTCACTCGGCTCACAGCGGCGTGCCAACAAGTAAGTGCTTCATGTGGCATCTGAAAATAGCAGAGCCAAAAGCTGTGAGAGCAGCATCACAGGCCGAACCGCAACGCGACTCGTCGCAGCATCCCAACAGATGTCTCTCACCGGCAGGCTGGCTTCTTCCTCTGCTCTGATTAGAGGCAGCTTCGACGTGAATGTGCAGAGTCAGGCAGGGCTCCCTCCCAGAACGCCTGACTGTAGGATGTAAATGAAGGCTGGCTTTCCGCCTCATTTGGAGGCTTGTTTTTACAAATAAAATCAAGTAATTAAAAGTAGAATGAGTGGAGAATAGTGGGGTTTTATTTTTGTAAATGGTACTGGTGAGATTTTAGACTGAACATGTCAGTCATTTTTTCATTTGAACAGATTTTATGTTAATTAAACTCATTTAAAAAAATACAAATAGTTGTGACTCCAACTGGTAGAAATCAGGAGGTAGCACACTCCTGAAGTTTGAAAGTTGAGTTTTTTATGTTTATGTTTATGTACAAGTTCTCTGCTTTCTTCACTTTGTACTTCAACGTCAATCCCCTACTTGTCTTTTATTTTTATTTTTTTGGCTCTCCAAATCTTCAGATGGGCTTAGCTCAGGAACATGTTCAAGTTCAGGTGAATTTCCTGGGTCCATCTGATCTTGTGAAGGAACTTTTTCCAGGGCTGGAAGTGGATCCATAGCATCAAACAGTAGAGACGACTTATCCTCATCAGATGAAGGATTCTCTTTTTCCATCTCAGGAACTGAGACTCTATTTATGGGCTGGGTAGGGCATGTCCCCTCAACACTGACCTTCACAGTTGGTAAAACTGAAAATTGAGATGCCCTCCAGTCCTCATCCTCCTCATCTGGGCTTTCCTCCAATTCTTCCACTGGTTCTTGTAGACTGCGGGTCTGCGGCCTATGAGCCGGTGTGGAAACTGGTGGGTCAACTTCAGTCTGAGGAAGAAATCCACAAGGGAGAAGAAGGTCGCGGTGCAGAGTCCGGGTCCCTCCAGAGGGATCTGCTTCTGGTCTTACAATATACACAGGAAGCTCACCCACACGACCAATCACCACATAGATGTTTGTCTCCCACTTATCCTCCAGTTTATGCTTGCCTCTGAACCTCACATTTCGGACTAATACTCTATCACCTTCTTCAAGACTTGCTGGTTTTACTCTCTGATCAAAACGAATCTTGTTTCTTCTTGCCATCTTTTCTGCATTTTTAGAAGCTAGCTGAAAACTTTCCTTCAGCCGAGAACGCAGGTTCTGCACATATTGAGAATGTGATTGAGATGATAACTCTTTGACAGGCAAGTTGAAAGCCATGTCAACAGGAAGTCTTGGACAGCGACCAAACATCAACTCATATGGAGTAAAACCTGTAACCTCATTTCGGGTGCAATTATAAGCATGAACAAGTTGCTTGACATACTCTTTCCATCTAGTTTTCTGCTCTGGCTCCAAAGTACCCAACATACTGAGCAAAGTTCTATTGAACCTTTCAACAGGATTCCCACGGGGATGGTATGGCGTGGTGTGTGACTTTTTAATGCCAGCGATGTTGCAGAGCTCTTTAATGAGGTGAGACTCGAAATCAGGCCCTTGATCCGTGTGCAGGCGTTCAGGAAACCCATAATGCACAACAAAATTCTCCCACAGACATTTTGCAACGGTCTTCGCTTTTTGATTGGCTGTTGGAAAAGCCATAGCATACTTAGTAAAATGATCTGTGAGGACAAGAATGTTTTTAGTGTTGCTTTTATCAGGTTCAATTGATAGATAATCCATGCACAGGAGCTCAAGTGGCCGGCTTGTCTGGATATTCACCAATGGTGCAGCTCGTTCTGGCAAAGCTTTCCGACGAATGCAGCGATTGCAAGTTTTAATCTTGTTTTCTACATCTACAGACATGCGTGGCCAGAAAAACCTAGCTCTTACAAGGTCAAGTGTTCTTTCAATCCCCATGTGCCCCATATCATCATGAAGGCTTGAAAGAACAACAGAACGGCATTCCTCTGGCAACACAAGCTGAAATGATAGGACTTCACCATCCTGCCTCCTCCTATATAAAATGTCATCTTTTAGTTCAAGACGTTTCCATTCTCTCATCACCAGAGGAAGGTCAGGAAGCTCAGCCCTGACAGTTGGAGGGATTTTCTCTCCTGTTTCAAGCTGATGAATAACTTCTTTCAAAACAGGATCAGCTCTCTGTTTCTCCCTGATGTCATGAAGGGACAGTGATGGAAGCACTGGCAATCCTTGGGTCTCACCCATGTATAAGTCAGGGAGAACTGTAGGGGTCATACTCACAGTTTCCACTAGAGTAATGTTTCTCTCCAAAGGACCATCTGGACTTTGGCCTCTCAGTAGACAGCTGTGACAAATGGCTCTGATCACATCTGAGGTGAGTTCTGTAGCATCCTCCATTTCATTCATATGGGTTGTGATGAATTGCTGCACCATGGCCCATTCTCTTTGTGGGTCAGGTGTTTGGGGATGTGGTCTCCTGGAGAGGGCATCAGCATCTCTGTTTTGGCTGCCAGCACGGTACTGCAATTTAAAGTCATATGTAGACAGTGCAGCAAGCCATCGATGACTAGCAGCATCAAGTTTAGCAGAGGTCAAGACATATGTTAATGGATTGTTATCAGTAACAACAGTGAAACTGGAGCCATAAAGATAATCATGGAATTTTTCAGTTACACTCCATTTTAAAGCTAAAAATTCCAATTTATGGGCTGGATATCTAGCTTCACTGGCAGACAACCCTCGGCTAGCATATGCTATAACTCGTAGCTTTCCCTCTTGTTCTTGATAAAGAGCAGCTCCCAACCCAGTGGTGCTGGCATCTGTATGCAGAATGTAAGGATGGCTTGGGTTAGCAAAACCAAGTACTGGAGCTGTAGTCAGTTTGTCAATCAATGTTTCAAAAGCAGATTGACACTGTGCAGTCCACCTTTCATTAAAAGGTTGTTTTGCATCATGGTTTTTCATTGTGATGGTTGTTTTACTGACACATTTGCGAGCAGGCGAATACCCCCTTGTCAAGTCATTTAGAGGCTTAGCAATAGCAGCGTAGCCATTTATGAACCTGCGGTAATACCCCGCAAATCCGAGAAATGATCGCAGTTCTTTTAAAGTTTGAGGAACTGGCCAGGATTTTAAAGCACTTATCTTTTCTGGATCCGTTTCAACCCCATGCTCAGAAACTACATGGCCTAAATAACGCACAGAAGTTTGGAAAAACTTACATTTTTGTGGTGATAATTTAAGGCCATAATCTCTAAGTCGATGCAGCACTCTTATCAACCTACTCTCATGCTCTTCTAGAGTGTCAGAGAATATAATCAAATCATCCAAGAAGACTAAAACTTCTTTTAAATGCAAATCACCCATGCACTTCTCCATAAGACGCTGAAAAGTGCTTGGTGCATTAGTCACACCTTGGGGCATTCTATTAAATTCCCTAAAACCCAAGTGGAGTCACAAATGCAGTTTTAGGCTTATCACCTTCCTCCATTTCTATCTGATAATAGCCTGACTTCAGATCAAGAACACTGAACCAGCGTGAACCAGTGAGAGCTGAAAATGACTCTTCCAAATTTGGCAATGCATAGGCATCCTTCACTGTTTGTAGATTCA